CTCACTATAGCTTAAACTCACTACTATGCGATATGCCTGAACTAAACAAACTGAAGAACTCGGTGTGGATTATTTTAAAGCCATCAAATTCCATTACCTTACTGTTCGGCTGTATCTACCAGCAACCTAATTTGGCAATAGGTGAAATAGCAGTATTATCAGAGGTATTCACACTAGCATCATCCCTTCCATTCACAGGCAAGCTCATTTGTGGTGATTTCAACATGCCTGAAATTTCTTGGTTTCCAGTCAAAGCTCCGAAACGTTATGAATCATTTATTGAATGTCTAGAACTAGGAAAGTGGACTCAATATGTTAGCAGCCCTACCAGACATCAAAATATCTTGGACTTGGTCTTTATCAGTGGCATCACCCCCAATATTGTATATTGGAAAAAAGTTTCCAGGTAGTGATCATAACACTGTCGTATGTAGCCTTAATATAAAAAACACAAACGGTAGACGTAAAAATGAAACCCTTCGTAGAAACTATCGAAACGTAGATTGGAATAATTTTCACAATTACCTAAGAAGCACTGACTGGGGAACATTCTTTTCTGCAAACAATACCGACACATTAACCAATATATTTTATCACAACATCGAAAGTATCATCAACAAAATCGCACCTTTAGAGTACTGGAGACCTAAGTTTTCTGAAGATCTGTATATACCGGTCAGTACACGAAGACGTCTGCAGAGACATTGTACTCGCTTCTACAACTCTAATGATTTCTCCTCTTTAGTAACGATGACAGAAATACCTGTCCAGACAGACGCAATAAGTACACGAAAAGCAATCGAACAGGAAAAACGTGCAGTCGAACTTAGGAAAAACTCCTCAGCACTCACCACACCATTTCAAAATAAACTTAAACGTTCTAAGTCGAGAGGAAACATATTTATTAAAGACAAACAAGTATACGAAGATCCTAAACTTGTTACGGAACTATTTAATGAACACTTTTGTTCCTCATTAACTGATGAAAAACCACTTAATGATTCAGAACTTATCACAGCATCTGCCTGTGGGATTACTAACGTAGACTTCAATGTACAGAATATCTCCAAGGCAATTAGTACACTGAAACACTCCTACACTGATGGACCAGATGGTATTCCGGCTAGCATGTAAAAACGTGGAAGCGATGATATGTGTGCTTTATTACTCGAACTATTTGCGATATCACTCTCTACAGCGCATTACCCTACTGCCTGGAAAACTACACACATTATTCCCAAAATTAAAACAGGACCTGAAGCAAATGTTGAAAATTACCGACCCATAAACATAACTTCCGTGGTGTCTAGAGTGATGGAGAAAGTAGTTAAGGCGGCGTTAGTCCAACATGCAATTACTAATAATCTCATCTCGGTCTCCCAACATGGATTTCTTAGGTCCAGATCATGTGATACATGCCTAGTGGACTACATGAATGATATAACTCTGAAACGAGACAATGGACTCCTTGTATCAGTCATATTTTTAGACTTTAAGAAAGATTTTGATAAGGTTCCACACAAACGGCTACTAACCAAACTACGGTCCTTCGGTATCAACAACCCACCCTATTCATGGTTTGTTTCATTCTTAAAGGGACGTAAACAAATGGTAAAGTACAACGACTGTCTCTCATTACCTAGACCAATAACTAGTGGCGTCATCCAGGGAAGTGTATTGAGCCCACTTTTGTTTCTCATGTATATAAACGAAATATGTAACATCATAAAATCCGGGAAACCATACTTATATGCTGATGATCTGAAAATAGTATACAGCTATAAGCCTGAGGCTCTAAGTGAAAGTGTACCCCTGATTCAAGATGATCTCAATAACTTAACTATTTGGAGCGAAAAGTGGCAATTACCATTTAACCTCCACAAATGCGGGATCATGCACTTTGCAAAGCACCCCTATGAACCCAACTTCATTAAATAAAAGTAAAGTCCAGACACTTGATTCAGTACACAATCTAGGAATAAATTACACAGGAAGCCTAAATTTCAAAGCACACGCCTCCTTTATTATTTCTAAAGCCAGAAGTCTAATTGGCTTGATAACAAAAAATTTCTTCATGACAGATGCTAAGCTTACCCTTTACAAAATATGTGTACGACCTTCCTTAGAATACTGCTCTTTTATCTTCTCTAATATGAATACCACTGACAAAA